GCCCGGCCGGCAGGACGCATCCGGCGCCTCCTGGGCCGCTGCCGGCGGCGGTGGGCAGGGATGAGCAGGAGCGCCCGGGCAGCGACTTTTATCCCCGACAGCTGCTGCTATTAAGTGCTGAGGCCCAGTGATGTCACGGGCTCGGTTTCGGAGGCCAGCTCGGGTGGCCGGTGCCGCGGCTTCGCATTCGTCGCGGTTTTTGGCAGGGAGGGCTCCGCAGCCTCGCTGCCCTCTGACATTTCTGCGAGCCTTTGAAGAACCTCTCGTTGCACCGGGGATGCGGCCAAAAGAAGCGCTGGGTTCGGCGGGGCGGGGGGGCTGGGATCTCAAGGGGCGCCCGTGGAGTGTGTCAGACCAAAGCGCCCAAATCGCTCGGGGTGGGATCCCGCCTCGCTTCAGAATTGGGGAAGAACCAACCGAACCTCCTGCCCCCTGGCTAAGGTCACGCTGGGGCTGCTGACGCTTTAATCGGCGTTTCGTAACTAATTGCCTGTCTGCGGCGCTCTCGTTATCAATTAATGTGGGCCTGAATATCAGGAAGTAACCCTATCTCCCTACAGCCGCCTCCCGGCTCTGGGAAATAGCTGGATTTCCTCATTGGGATGGATTACATGTTTACTGTGGCACGTAGCGAGGGTGACCCAAGGAAGCAAGCAGGACATCTTCATGTCCCCTCCTCTTCTCCTCTGTGTCACAGGGAGACAAATGATAATAAAAAAAAACCCTCGTTTGCAGTCTCTTGCAATGACATCTGAGAGCCTTTTAAAAAGGCAGCTTTTCCAGGTGTCGGGAAATGCCCTTACATGGATGGGGGCAGATGCCGTTCACTTTAGCAGACCCTGGTAGCCCCGCAGGAACTCTTGGCTTTCTCCATGCTTATTTCCAGAGGTGCTCCAGAGGTCTCCTCTTTGCAGGAGGTGGCTGCTTCCTCCGCTCGCTCCCCGTCCCCTGCTGCTCGACGAGCTCCGCAGCTGCATAAACAGCAATAGGAATCGCTCGGTGTCCGGAGCCCGCTCCGCGGATGCTCCCTGCCGGGAGCAGGGGTGTCTCCCTGCAGCGTTAGCTCCACGGTTTGGTTCACGCAGGTGTCAACGGCGCCTCCTCTCTCTCCTCTCTTGCAGGCCCGCCTGTAAGTACCGCGTGCCCACGGCGCTCTTCCCAAGCCCCATTCCCACCACGCGGGAAGGATGGCACTGCATCCCAGCGCTCCGCGGGCCCTGGCCCATTGACCACCAAGCAAATCCCCAAGAGGAGCGTAGAGGAGACGGCCAAGGAGCTGCGCCCCATCTGCTAATTGCATTCATTGCATAATTGCATTTGTTACGTGTGATTGCGTGGCCTCCTCGCCACGTTTTTGAGCTAACTCTCGCTTTTTCTGTGTCTCCTGTTGCAGGGCCCTACAGGAAGACCAGGGCTCCCGGTAAATATCTCTTTTTTTACCCAATTCTCTCCCCATTATGCGCTGCCTGCGTTAGTTTAATGTGAGGGACCCGAGCGCCAAATCCACCCGGGACAAATGCACATCTGGATGATGCCAGGAAGCATATCCATGGGGCGGGGGATACGGAGACCAGCTGCTTGTACGTGCTGGAAAAGTGCTGGAAACCAGGATGTGGTTCCCCATGGGCAGACCAAGCTTTACCACACGCTGGTGCTTTTCCCCCCCGTTTCTCTCCAAACCCCTGGGTGCGCGGGCCGGGGCTGGCTCTTTTGCAACCTTTCCGATGTGCCTGGTTTTGCTTTGCTCTCCAGGGGGACAAAGGCGCCATGGGCATCCCGGGACGGCCGGTAAGCCCCAAATTCCCACTTTCACCCCACCCACCGTGGGGGTGACCCCTGGGGTGGCGGGACCGGTACCGCTGACTCCCATGTCTGTCTGTCTGTCTCTCTCCCTCTGCTCTGTCCCTCTTGCATGTGGCTTCGACGGGTGCCGCGGGCCAGGGACTCAAGGGGCAACCTGGAGAGAAGGTGAGTCGGCCCTGCGGGTGGGCGGGAAGGGCGTGCGATGCTCG